GTATATTCAGGGTTCTTGTTTTAGGTGCCACAGGTACCCAAAGGCCCATGATTAGAACTGTCCTTTAATATAATAGGCTTTCTCTGAGCTTCTAGGAACTTTTCTTTGTGCATTAAAATAATAGTTCTAAGAAAGCATGCATAAGCTTGAGCAGTAAGGTAAAGACACACACAGGAGACACAAAGAGGGTAAGAACACCTGCAAGAGTGGGCTTCTTTGTTTCCGTTCCAGTTCTCCTTTTGTTTGTAAAGTATGTTCTTCCTTGATTGTCTGATCAGTTTCTGTGATTTTGACGATTCTCCTCCATTCTTTTGTTCTGAAGTCCTGTTGGTGTATGTTTCTGGAAACACAGCCTCATAATCAACAAATTGCCTACATTTCCACCATTTCCCTAAACATTTTCACAGCTCCTACTCTTCACTAAACCTCATACCCAAGTTCTGCTCAGTTTATAAATGACAAAAAAAATCTTTGATGTTCTACCTTAGTGAAACTGTTTCTCCCTTTGCCTCCCATTAGTTTCCTATTTCTTCTGTAACTAAACTGTGGCTTAAAAAACACAAATTTATTCTTCTACAATTGTAGAAGTTAGAAGTCCAAATGAGTCCTATAGGGCTGAAATCAATTGCTAGATACACTAATTCTTTTTGAAAGCCTCAGTGAAGAATCTCTTTCTTGCCTCCTTCAGCATCTAGAGGAAGGTGGTGTTTCTTGGTTTGAGGTGGTAACACTCAGATTTCTACTGATGTCAGGGTTTAGGTCTAAGTGCTCCCCCCCACCCTCCTGTGTGCATAGTTGGAGCTTTTTGGAGGTGGATGGATCTAGAGTGTGTACATATGGATTAATGGTGTGTGATAACTAAATCAGTTTACTGATAGATTTACATAGTTCTGGGTGTGGATAATCAGTAGACTCACCCTGGGTGTGGGTAGCACCATCCAACAGGTTTGTAGCCTGAATGGGATAGAAGAGAAAGGAAGGCTTGCTGCTGATTGCTTCCTGCCTGCCCTGCCATGGGATGCTTCTTCTCTGCCATGCTCCTCTGCTGTGCCACCCTGCCATGAAGCCAGTTAACTATGGACTGAAATCTCTACAAACTAAGCCAAAATAAATCTTCCTTTCTTAGAATTGTAGGACTTAGGTATTGTATCTCAGGGTTGAGAAAATAAGACAACTTGCTTTCCTTTTATAAGGATCCCTGTGATTGGATAATCTAAAATAACATCTCCATCCTTCACTTAATCACATCTGTTAAGTTTATTTCTGCTGTAAAAGGTAACACAATTTCTGGGGATGGTGTGTGGACATATTTGGGAAGAAAAGATTTACTCTACCACATACACTATTTCTCTCAAATGTTTTTGAGACAGAATCTTGCTATGCAGTTCAGGATAGCCTTAAACTATGGTGATTCTCCTATTTCAGCCTCCTGAGTGCTGGGATTATAGGAAAGCACCATTATGGCCATCTTTACCCTTTTTATGTGTGACAGGGTCTCACTACACAGTTCAGGCTGGCCTTGAACTTGTTTTGTAGCCCAGGCTGCCCTTAAAATCACAGTAATTCAGCCTCAGCCTCTCGAGAGGTGGGATTACAAGTGTGCATCACACACCCAGAAGTCCTTGAATTCTTAACGTCGTACTGTAAATTTGTCCCTCTTTCATGTTTCTTACTTTGATAAATAGAGCACCATTTATTTTTTTCTGTCACTCACTCTTGATTCCTTTCTTTTTCTCATGATCAACAACTTTATCAAAGAAAGTCACCAAAATCCAATGCATGAGAAAATCCTATCCATTCTATCTCCAATATCTTCTTTAACTCTCAACCTAACAACCCTGCCATAACCATTAAATCTCACTTGGACAATTGCAAAAACTCCCCATTGTCCTCTTTCCCTCACTGTAACAGGGACAAGCCTAAGGTAACAAGAGACTAGCCTACTGGGTTAAGAGATAGTTCAAACAGATAGCCAAGCATAGATACGTAAAAGAAAACACAGTGAACCTGAAAAGCTTAGAACAACTAAAATAAATGCCCCAAACAAGAAAAACACATCTGTGAAATGAACAGACACTTCTCAGAGGAAGAAGTACAAATGGCCAGCAAACATACAAAAAAATGTTCAACATCTCTGGTCATTTGAGGAACGCAAATTAAAACAAATGCTAAGATTCCATCTTACACCAGAAAGAATAACCACCATCAACAAGTGAAAAAACTGGGGGCTGGGGATTTAGCTCAGTGGCATAAGTGCCTGCCTTGCAAGCAGACAGTCGTGAGTTCGATCCCTGGTACGGATAGAAAGGAAAAAGACCAAAAAAAAAAGAAGTGAAAAAAATAACAAATTCTGGCAAGGCTACAGTGAAACAAGAACCCATCTATATTGTTGGTGGGTACATAAAGTTGTATGACCATTAGGGAAATCGGTATGGAATTTATCAAAGAACTAAAACTAGAAATTCTGTAGGACCCAGCTATGCTCTTTCTAGGCATGTTCTCCAAAGAGCAAAACATCATACTACTGTGATAGCTCAGACACCGGAATAAAATCCAAGGAAGCAAGAAATTAAAATTTAGGGAGCAAAAGGCTTTATTTTAGGCCAGGCCTGGCGACACAGCCTCCGGGAGCCAATATGGAAGACTACATGCCTAATAGCTAAAAGGCAGGGTTTTTATCTTGTAAAACTGCAAACAGCTGCTGGCCTTACAATGCAAGGAGGGGGGCTGGGTTTGTGGTGCACTACAGAACAGGAACATGACAATTACATTTCTTCAGAAGAGCAAGGTTCAGGTAAGGGTTGTGTTAACAAGCAAGTTTAGATTAGGCAAACATCCTCTGGGGGAAAGCACATCCTGCAAACAAGCAAGTTTCCCTCCAAACAAGCAAGTTTAGATGAGAAAGACATCCTGTAATTTCCTTGTAGTTAAATGTTTCTTAAGGAACAGCACATTTTATTACAGATAGGCCAAAGGGGGTTGGGGGGTTACAAGAGATTGAAACTTAAGGTTTTTATGGGAAATGGAAATTTACCTAACCTAAAGGGGGGGGGGTGCGGCGCATATAGAAGAAGAAAGAGGCACAATGGTTAGAACTAGGCTATAACAACTGCAATGCTATATATGTACTCACATTTATAGCACCAACATTTGTAATAGCTAAATCTTGGAAGCAGCCTATAAATCCATCAACAGATAACTGGATAAAGAAAATGTGGTATCTATGCATATCATTTGGCTACAAAGAAGGATAAATTTGAAGTATTTTTAGGAAAATGGATGCACCTGGAAAATATAATGTTGAGTGAAATAAACTAGACACACAGGCTTAAATACCTTCGGGTGACTCTCATTTGAGTGAGGCAAATTATGAAGAAAATGATGAGGATGGATAGAAAGGGACAAGTGGATAGATCTCATTTATTCAGTAGAGGAGTCCAAGGGAACAAGGAGAGGGTTAAGGAGGAGGGAAAGGAGAAACAAGGGGAGTCAAAATGTGCTACCTGCAGGGCCCTGATAACTCCAATCAATGTAAACACTACGTACTATAACACGAGCTAAGACAAATAATATCAGCAAGTATAGAGAAGGTGCTAGGAGAATCAGAGGAGGAGGAAAAGAAGGGAAGGTGAACTGGATTTTTAAAAGGCTGTAGTATGTACATATAACCATTCCCCAAGATGATTGTAAATTGCATGAATTGCAAACATGTACTAATAAAATATATATTAAAATACCCTACTAAATTTTTCCCTTTGACCATGATTTTATTCTTCAATTTCATGAGACAAAGAACTCAGATTTATACAAAATTAACTGTTTCACCTTAATCACCTTTCTATAAGATCTTAGGTTTTACTTTTACATAGGTAATCAGTGACATTTAAACAAATAACCAAGTGACATAGCCAGCAACTAGAATGTGATAAATAAAGCAATAGCTAACATGAGGGGAAACCCCTCTGTCAAGCTTTTAGTGTAGATGGCCACACAAAACACCGTTGTAGAGACAAGTAAGCAGAATAACTACATAATGAAAATAACATGAATGACATAGTAAACTTTATTTCAAGATCTGACAGTGCAACTCAAAATACAGACTGTCTTCAACCTCCATTGGATTGATTTACAATTTCCTGAGTTTATGATCATGCAAAATACATCCAATAGAAATCACAATTCATGTTTTGCATTTTGATCTCTTCCTAAGCAACAAGCACATTTCCCCAGAGCCAAGATGACAAGGAGAAATAACCAGTAGCCGACTGTGTTGCTAAGTTATGAGCTTTAGTAGGTTAGATGTATTAAATACATATTCTACTTGTAATATTCCCAACTTACAATGAGTTTATTAAACATAAACTCACTGTAACTATAAATCCATTCTAAGTTGAGGACATCTGTGGATGGTATGACAAGTGAACTTTTAGTGTGTCACATTTCATAAACACCCATTTAAAGCTCAACAAAATGCATTTTTATCTGTGTTTTTAACCTCCCAAATGGTAACTCCATTTATACCTGTATGGAAAGTTCCAATTTCCACTCACAAAATAAACTTGGAGTAAGTCTAGGGAGAAAAACACAAAACAAGACAGCCTTTCACAGGCACGGTGTACCAAGTTCGCCACACGGAAATGAGATCTTTGCATTTTCTGTATGCCTTGCCTCACCTGGCTCTGTCCCTTAAATGGCAAGCAGGCAGGCGTGTCCGCAGCCGACCCTCCCACGCGCATTCTTGTAACGGAGAAAGGTCGCAGGGGACCATGCAAATCCAGCGGCGACAATCCCCGGGGGCTCTTCCTGGAACAGCAGGTCCTCACGCAAGAAATGCCCAGGGGAGCTGGGTCCTAGGCCGACGGTGCACCTGGGTCCTTCGGGTGCAGCGCCTGAGCTGAGCCCCGCGCAACCCGCGCGGGGGCGGCGCCAGCGAGGCGGTGCGCTAGCCAGCGAGGCGGTGCCCGGCTAGGGGAAGCTGTGTTCAGAGCCTTTTGCCCCGAACGCGTCTGCCCTCCCAGACCCCGGGAGCTGAACCTGGCCGCCGCCGCAGTCTTCTCTCCTCCGCGCGGGCTTTCCGCGTTGCTCGGTCTCCTCTGAGGTCGCGCGGGTTTCTGCTCGCCGGGAGCATGGGGCCGCTGGGCCGCGGAGGAGCGCTGCTGGCCACCCTGCTGCTGCTGGCGCCGCCTGCGGCCCGGGGTGAGATGCGGGCGCAGGGACCGGGTGGTGGGGCGCGGTGAGGGGCCCCGGTCCTCCGGGCCTCCAGGTGACAGCGGAGAGTTCGCAGTCGCTGCACTCTCGTTGCAGCCACCTGAGCGGATTAGGGCTCTGCAAGCCCCGCTGGGGCGCACACGGAATTCTGTGCAGTTCTGTGTGTTTACAGCCAGCAAAAGGGAGAGCATATGCCGATCCTAGTTCCCATTATAGGAAAGGGGTACCTGGTTCCTGATCCTAGAGGTCTGACTGTAAGGGAAGTTAACACACCTGTCTGAATTCCCCGCCCCCATAATCCCAATATGGTACTTAGGATTTCATCCAGCCCTTTGCACTGAGCTACCTTCCTAGCACTTTTTAAAATTTGTATTTTTGCTTTGAGACTAGGGCTGGCTAAATCGCTAAAATTGCCCAGGCTCAAATTTCCGATCCTCCAGACTCAGTCTGTCAGAGCGCTGGGATTACAGCCTTGTGCCACACACCTGTCTCAGTCTTTTTACTCATTTGCAAAGTAGGTGTGCTGAGCTCTCTCGAGGCATCAAGGCGTGGCTACATAAATGGCATAAAGCATGTCGAGTGTCTGACATGGGATCTGCTACTTATTTCTTGCACCTAATCACACTCGGCTCCCAAAGGTGTTTAGATGAAACAGCGCACCTGGACCCTGCTGGCATTGGACTGGACTGCCCCCCCCAACCCCAAATCGCCACCATCAGCCACACATATTTAATTCAGCGGACATGCTGTTTAAGATCCTCTTGTCCTGGACTTGGTGATTAGAAGACTGAGTGAGCTCCAGAGCGCAGCTGTGGAACTGGCCAGAGGAGGAAGGGACAGTAGAGGAGGTGATTTAGCACAAAGGCATGTTCAGAAAGCTGTTAGCAGAAACTAAAGTCTCTTTCACCTGCTGTGGAGGTTCTGAGGTTACATCTTTCCTTCCTTCCTCTTGATTTCAGTTAGGTAAACAACATTAGTTTGGGCCCTTTTCTTGCTATTTCTAACTGTTCCAGAAGTGTCCTTGCTTAGATTCATGGGAGGACATGTTAGGTGATGTAAGTTTTTATTAGGTCTTTTCCTGACAATTCTGCTCTCTACAATTTGCATTGGTTGCCTGCTGTACCTTCACTTCTAAAAACCAGGAAAAAAGAAAATCGAGTTTCCACAAAAGTTGATATTAAGTGTTTACCTACCTGGGCATCAGAAAGTAGCCTTTCAGGATAAGAGATGGGATAAAATTTCAAAGTTTAATTGTAGAAAAGAAGTGTGCTAAATAAGTTAATGACTCTTGTCAATGCCTGGGAAGTTTTGTGGTCCTTGTATCTACCTCCCTGTCTCCCTACTGCAAAGTTGTTGTCATTTGCCCATATTATTTAAATTACTCTTTTAAAAATCCCAGGCACTATTAATTGTATAATCTCCCAAAGTGATACAGTCTAAACTACCCAATCATTTAGTTGCTAAAGCAATTTAATGCCTCTATGTACAGCTCTTTGAAATTTAAAAGAAATGTAAGACCAAGCTATACCCCTAAACCATATTAATCTCACCTCTGCCATGCTCTAGCTGGAGTTCGTGGCTCCAATAAGTCAATTAACAACCTTGATTTTCAGTGTGCTCTTGTATAAAGTCACCAAAATTGACATCCTGCTGTCAGAGTCATTGTAAAAAAGATGAGGCTTTGCCCATGGGCTGTTGAAATCTATCATCCCTCATGACAGTGAGGAGAAAGTCACAAGGGCCTGGAAGCCACAGGATCCCTGACAAGAGAGCAACCTGAGCTCCATAAGCAGAACCAGCCCAGAAGCAGCAAAGCTATGAAGTACTAAAAGAATCCAAAAACAAGCTTTATAAGACGATCTGTGGGAATATTCTTTCTGTATAAAAAATAAAAGGAAATAGAACTATTTTACTTCTCTTGCATACCCACTATATTAATTTCAACCAAAGCAGGACATTGGACCAAGATAATGACTGGGAATAAAGAGGGGCATTCCATGATGATAAAACAACCAGTTGTCCAAAAAAGACAAAACAGTACTTCATGTGTATGTGTCTACTGACAGCCAAAGCATGTGAGGCAAAAATGGGCAGGACTGGGGACAGAGAGACGTGAACCCACTAAGAGGTGTCCATAAGCCTCGGTCCAAAATGGGCAGATCATCCAACAACAGTAAATGTACGTGCTCTGGGCTCCAAGAGCTATTTGCTGGCAGGAACCACATTTGATCATTAAAGATACTGGTTTCCTGGATAGTGTTTAACATGGGGCGGCCTCTGATGCCCCTTCTTGGTCTCTGCTAGGGTCCTATCCTGTGGCCCTGCTTTGCAAAGCTACCAAGTAAAAGGGGGCTCCCAGCTGGCTCTCTGGCTTTGTGATGCTTTTCAGTCTGCATATGCAAAAGTGAGTGGGATTACTTTAGGTTACCTAGCTTTTTATAAAATAGTCTTCACATTGGGACTAGTAACTCTGAAAATGTTCCACGCAGAGATACCAGTAAAAATAATATGTGTAAAAGCAAACAGTATCAAACAAGAAGGTGGCCTAGCTGACAGTCCCCATTCCACTCCCCCAACCACACACAGCTTTCTGTGAGAGGCACCTAGAAAAAGCAGCACAGTCAGATGAAGCACAGCTGACAAAAATCCACAAAAACAAACCTGGACAGCATCATGGCGAGTGGCTAAACAACAGGTTTGCATGTGCAGTCATTAACAGAGTAACTATATTTGTCCCTTTTGGTATGAATGGGCAGCTAATGTGATCAGTATGATTAGAACAGCTAACACGTATCCAATCTCTTTACCTTTTTATTTATGTAAGTGGTAAATCATTTGCACACTTATTTTTTGAAAGTGCACGCTACTTTTCTAAACCCACTGTTGCTTAAGTAAAACCCCTTCCTTAAAGGGGAGAATGGATACCATGGGAGCAGTGTCTAACCTCGGTTGGCAGTGCTTGTGGAAGCAGGCACAGTTGTGACACACGAGTTCCTTGTGATTACAGTGCAGGATAAATAAACCTGCCTTGGAAGGAAGATATGAAGGAGGACATTTGAAAAGGGCTTTACTATGTAAAATGAAAAGCAAAATGACCTAGTAATGCATATTCATGGGCACAACCAAAATTATGAAGACTGGCGAATTGATTGTTGGTACAAAGTGAAGTAACTGTAATTATTATATATTGTTCATCAGCAGATAAAACCACCACTTTGGAGAAAAGTTTGGCATTTTCTTTAACAGTTAGAAATATTTATCATGTGATTTAGTATTTTTAATTAAGTTTGTTGTTACATTTTAGGTATACATAGTAATAACATTCATTATGTACCTGTACATGATATAAATTGATTTTTCCCATTCCCTTGGCCTCCTCTTAACCCCTCTTCTCCTCCTTATTTACAAAAGTTTTGTTTCTATTTTTCCTTCTTGTCTTGTTTTTTACCTTCCCACTTCCTTCCTTTCCCCCTCCTCTATCGCTAGTTCCCCTTCCTGTTTGAACATTTTCTTCCTACTTCATGATATCTGTTATACAGTTTAGTACTTATTTATGCTTTTGCTTTATCACACCAAAGAAACAATTGGTATGTACACGTGTGCGCCGCGCGGCCTCTGAACCCCCGACCGGCAGGGGAACTGACTCACACGACACACCAGAATGCAGAGACAGAGGTCGCGTTTATTGACTCTCCACACAGGTCGTCCCCGGAACGTTCCTCCCTGATCGGACTCTCCAGTGGGGCTCTCTCTGTTGAGTAACCCCGCGTAGTCCTCCACTCTCTATGGTCTGCGTGTCTTCTCTTCCTCTCTACCTCCTGCTCTGTCCTTATATCTATAGTCCTGTCCTATAGGGTAACAAGGCGTGGCAAAGTCTGATTGGGGGACATCAGCTGTAACTAGGCAGAAGCTGAGGGTAAGAATACGGAAGTAGGAAACGGGCGCCATCTTGGCATCATTCGATGGGAGGGGTAATCTACTGAAGGCTTCGCTCTTTCCTACAGGCCTCATCTGCTTAGGCAGGTCCTCTGGCTCGGCTCCCGACATCTCCCCCTTTTTTCTTTATTAAAGGCGGTGGATCTAAGGGTCCCTCCAAGGTATGATGTTGTTAGATACCTGGGAGTGGGCCTACTTTGTAGGCCACGGCATGAGAGAATGTAGAGGTCTATACCCCGCTGTGCATCACCTCATTTCGATGCATATCCTCGCGCTAGGACCATGCTTGAGGTGAGTGGTTCATTTTTTCGCAGGGCCAGGCTTTTGTGAACCGAACCTGGATGCATATAGACATTCATTCCTGCCTTCCCCCCAGCTTTGGGGCGGGTGGCACTGCAGTACCCTTGGTCTCGCATCTCAATGCCAACAACTTAGCTCCATGAGAGGACCCTAATAGAGTGGGGTCTGTCTTAGGTTGGTCGGGAGAGCCCCTCCCGCCTTACCCGTCATTGACTCCATCACTCATCTCCTCGGGGAAGAAGGATGCCATCCAGAGGCACCTGTCTTTCTCGGTCCCCAACTGATGCTTTCCTCAGTAAACATGATCCAGTTGGGCAGCGAGGAAGCATTTGGGGGCTTAAAGGTGGAGAAAACCACCATATCATTAGAGAGGGGCACAGTGATATTGAACTCATGGGAAGTAATCGGGGCATCAGGAAGGCATGGCAATCTAGCTGTACAGTTGTGGGCATAGGTTCGCGGGAGGGTTGGAGATGTAACTGAAACAATGGACAGGGCTGGGGGATGTAGCCCCCCATACTATTTCAGCATAAGCACCGTTAATCAGCAGTAGTACCGCCAGGCATATTTTATGCCAGTTGACAGGGCGCGGTGCATGAGCAAACAAGAAGGCGCTCCGTCCCAGGCAGACCCCAAAGAGGAATACCAGAGTATACATTACCACACCCAGCAGTAGGTGGTTCGGTGCCTTGGCTAGGGTGTCATTGTTCTCCTTCTGCGTTGTCAAGTTGGTCCTTAGCATTATGGTCCCC